AAAAAAATATTTTAATATAATAACATATATTATACATATATAATATACATTATACATATATTTTACATTAGATGATATACATAAAATAATTATAATAATTTCAATAACACATATACCGTCCATAATATGTATTAAAATAAAAATAAATCACGCGCAGCTAACATAAAATATTAACAAATCTATAATATTTTCGTATTTTTGATTAAAACGGCCGATTGATGTATGTCAATGGTCGCGTTCAGCAGAGAAAACCGCTTAGTAGCAATCGAATGTGATTGGTTCTTACTTTTAGAATCAACGAATCAACGTCAAGTGTTGACGAGACGATAACTGAGCGCTTTCTCTGCTGAACGCGGCCCATGCTAGATCCAGCATAATTGTGGATCTAGCACGGACATGCACCAATCGATCATTTTACCATGGCACCGAAAAGTGGATCCGGCCACGTAGTTCCGCCGGCTCTAAAATGGATCCAGTTAGCGCCACTGTACCGGCTAGAGAAAGCGTTACAGGAAAAACGGCGGCGTGGCCCTTCTCAGGTTTCTCTCTGTTATAAACATGAAGGACTTTCATAGCAAATTATGTATGTTATTATTAGAAGAATATTTTGGATCTATTGTACAAAGTATAGGAAATAGTTTGTTATATGGCACAAAAACATTAAATGTTATACGAATTGATACACGTCTACCATTAATAAAGGTACAGTAAACTTTTGTGTAAGATACTAGATATTAACAAATTATTGCTACATAAAATATATTATCTTTTTATACCTATTATTAATATTTTGTATTTATCAAAAATTTCTCGAAATACTGCCGTCACGGTGCCGCAGATTTCAAATAGTCTTAAGACTATAATGTTCACAATTATCTTTCTATTTCCATTTATATTCGAACCACAATATCGTTTACCAAATATCTCTCTGCATACTATTATATATAATATATATACATATCTAAAAGATTATATTTGCTCGCGCAAACATATATCATAGAAGAAGCATTTGGAAATCTTATCCGTGAGATAGAGTGGCATTCGGTTAACCAATCAAGACACAGAAATCTTTGCTTCTTTTATTCTGATTGGTCAATTAAACGCTACTTTATACCACAAACAAGTAGGATTTCCGAACTCATTCAAAACAGTCAGAATGTTCCGAGATGCGCGCTAGCAGTGTGTTATTGGACCAGGTTTTTCATGCACACACGGCCACAATAGCAATAAATACAGCGGTGTATCTAGAAAACGTGAGCACTGGTGAGCACATGAACATGAAAGTTTCTTTAGCAGGTTTTTAGTTTTTAGTCTGGCGGACAATATATATAAAGATAGGTTATATAGGAGTTTCTTAAGTAAGTCAAAATATATTGTTATAATTTATATTTATATATAAGTTAAATATACTATAATATTAGTAGTGTGTAATTCGATTTACAATTTACTATTCTTACAGTTTGCATTCGCATTGGTTGCATATAAAGGCCAGTAAATATAATAATCGTGTATTGAGATTATTGCGTGTCATGATATCCGAAATTAAAAAGATCGCTACGAACTATAAATATGTTATAATTAACGCTGTTAATTTAAATGATCAGATAAATAAAAATCGCAATCGATGGAATGCAAAACCGATTTTTATTAAAGCAAAAATTGTGGACAATAAACCAATGAAATTTTGAAAAAAAATACGGGCCGAATTCTATTATACACGAGAGGTAGGTCACTAGTGGTTATAGTGTACAAAAATTACCCTTGATACGGATTACTTTTAAATTACCTCAGATTACTTAAGATTACCTTAGATTACTTAAGATTACCTTAGATTATCTCAGATTATCTGAGGCTACCTTAAGGGGCTTTATACATACATCTAGCGGTAGGAAAAATAGGGGGAAATCTGACAATTTTTTTATTAAAAAATCTGTAGCTACATCTTAAAGTAGATCTTTAATGTATATTTGGTAAAATTTTCATTAATAAATATTGAAAAATGTACCATGGAGATGTCATCTCCTGGAAGCTGTTCGACGATGCGGTAACCATTGTAGCTTCTCCAATTTTTATCTGAAATCAAAAACCAAAAAATTTTCTTAAAGTATGTAAAAAAAGGAAGTGTTTGTCGTAGTCGATTTTTAAAATTGTGGTTTTCTTCCAGATGACGTCTCCACGGCACATTTTTCAATATTTATTAATGAAAATTTTACCAAATATACATTAAAGGACCTACTTTAAGATGTATCTACAGATTTATTAGTAAAAAAATTTTTTGTAATTTAAATGATCAGATAAATAAAAATCGCAATCGATGGAATGCAGAACCGATTTTTATTAAAGCAAACATTGTGGACAATAAACCAATGAAATTTTGAAAAAGAATGCGGGCCGAATTCTATTATACGTGTAATTTATACCATTAGAAATATATATGTATATATATATATAGTTCAATCTTATATAAAATTTTTGAAACATTAAAACAATAAATTTTTCGATGCTCACACGATAATGAAAGGGTATGGCACAATCGAAAAAAATGCAAGATAGGCAGACCTTTCACCCGGAATATTTAATATCTCTGTTAAAGGAAAAATTGCTATAATAACATCTAGTAAAATAATTAAAAGAAAACATGTTTTTTCTTTCGTATATCAAGCTTACCTTTGAAAGTTTAATTGCGATAAAAGATTGCTTTAAAAACATATTTCAAAACATGAAACTTTAAATAAAAATATAACTGAATGTGAAACAAAGTTGAGTCAATTAAACGCTACTTTATACCACAAACAAGTAGGATTTCCGAACTCATTCAAAACAGTCAGAATGTTCCGAGATGCTAATTTGATTCTGTAATTCAAGTGAGAGTGAAGATTACAAAAATGAACGAGTTTACTAGAAAATATATAATTTCATTGGTCCAAATCTAGTAAATTCGTTCATTTTTGTAATTTTTACCCTCACTTGAATTACAGAATCGATACCCAGGTTTTTCATGCTGCTTTAAAAACATATTTCAAAACATGAAACTTTAAATAAAAATATAACTGAATGTGAAACAAAGTTGAAACTCTTGCGGTATTCCGAAATCATCACAGACGAAGAAAACAGCTGAGAGAGAAAGAAAATATGTAATATATAGAAATATGACATTAAAATTTGATTGAGTATTCGAGCATTAACGAACAACGAACTTTTACTTGCCGTTATTGTTTAAACTGGCACGTACAACCTTTTTCGCTACTAAAAATAATAAGGCCATTACTTAAATAATAGTACTAAGTAAGCAACGATGATATCAATAACTGTAATATTTATAATAATAATGATAATAATATAATGGGTGTCTCATCGATAATAATAATAATCTAAATAATAATGACAATGAAAATAAGAATACGTATCGCATTTAACATTGTTAATCTACATACTTCGAATAATTACATATATAATATAGCTACGTAGATACATCACAATATAGTTACACTGTACATTAATAATATTGACGCTCGTGTCGGATCACGTGATCAATGATTATCTCCCGACACATTTGTGTGTGTGTACAAATCCATTATATACATAAAATAAATTATTATCAACATTAAGCTAAATCCTAATCTGACGCCGGTCGAGCCCCAACGAAACGGGTGCAGATATATCGAGGATACTGGCTCTCTTTATAAAATTATATTAGGTACTGTGTGTATGTAATTGCACTGATTATAAATAACAAAAGAAAAAAAAAAACGTGAAAAAAAGAGACGCAAAAATTCGTTTTTCACGTCGAGCCAACGAGGCGACACGGGATTAGGGATTCCTTTTCGATTAACCCCCGCCCGCGGAAACGCTATTTGGCACATAAATATTATCACATCGAGCTCCAAATCATTATACATCGTCCTGTTCAATCGTCTCACAGACTACCGTTACAACCGTGTTCGCTTTTAGCATCGGCTTATACGAAACCGTAATTATCTCTCCATCGATCCCATCCCCTGGGTTCACCAATCTCCCCCTTCCCCCTCCCGGCCCATTCTATTCGTAATATAATTCGACAGCGGAGAAACATAATACACGCGTATGTAATGCACCATTGCATCGCACCCCGACGTGTCGCGCGCAACGATTCGATCGCTGAATGCATGCTAATTTTTCGATAAATAACGCTATCTTCCGTTTCTTTTACCGTAACGTTGTACTAATATATCGACATTCCACGCTAATTCTCATGTCCATCTCGTTTCATCTCTTGTTGCACCTTCCCTACTCGCTATGTTCAGTCGACTATTACCTCCCTTGGCTATCGCCATTTCTATATTAGGGTCAATAAATTAATGATGAAAATACTATAAGTACTACGCATTTATATTAAGCGAAACCGTTACGCCTCTACGCACCGGGATTTAATCGCGCGAGCGATTATTCTCTAGCTTTTTCTCACTCTTTTCTGACCTCTCGTTCAGCGCTTCGAACGTGGTCGTTTTATATACGATGGTATACATTATAGACGACTCTGACTGGGGCGGTCGCAAGATAAGATTGCCACGTGTGAATCTACGCGTTTGTGGACGCATGCGATCGTTGCGAGAGATGCTGTAATTTTTTTTTTTTTAAGACCAGTTTTTATTCATTCATCTTTTTTTTATTTTTCTCGATACGACCGATCGGAATGGCGTATCGTAGATACACACACACACACACTAGAAGGAATAGGAACAAGACTTTTTGGCCATGCATCGTGTCGCAACGCGTATGTGATATATTCGCTATGTATTCAAGTCCTGATAAAGAGATCGGCACGAATTTGCGCATCCGAGTCGGCACGCCAAAGCGACACGTGATTGTTTTATAAAAATTATGCGGATGCACGTGTACCCTCGCATTTCGTCTCACCTTGCGCACGTACAGTAAATGTGCAACGAGTATATTTTGGCTGTTAGTTAACGCCGGTTAATCGTACCTCTACACGTTAGCTACCGATGATTTCGAGGTCTATCGTGCAAATTGCAGTTTTGATTATAGGATACAAAGAATGCAAAGAATACCGCCGACGTGTATAAAAAACGCCATTCTTCCTCGTCACTCAAAAGAAAGTTACCAAAGAAAAAACGTTTCACGTCCAGAGAACTTGTGATAGATTAGAATGTCTATTAGACGACATTACGACATTCTTTAAATGTCTTTTGAATTGTTTCAGTTTAAACTGAGTAGATTTTTAAATACATTTGGAAAAGTACCTCATTCTCTTAAGAATTAAGAATATCTGAATAAAAACAAATAACAAAAGTATGTTTGCACAAGATTTTATAAATCGCGGCTGCTGAAGATTGCCTCTGCAAACGGATAAACACCCACAATGTAGATTGTCTTGAAATAAATAGCGTTGTATTGCGCAGCAATAAAAAAATCGTAAAAATTGTGAAATAACACGAGCGAAAAAAATCTTCAGCTATTGCCGATATACAAAAGACAATTTAATTGGAAACTGCAAATCCGGAGCCAGCCGATATTATTATTTATCAAAATATTCGACACGAATCCGAACGCGTTCTATTGCCGACATTGTTGACTTATGTTAACCGCACAATACATTGCTATCGAGATAGTCGGGTACACATATTCCATATAAATCAAACGAACTAATTGATTGAAAAAATGTACTGTGTGTAAAATTACGTGTAATTATTCTTTCGATAACTGGTACCGAAGAACAAGAACGACCGACGATCGAGCGACGTCACGACGGCGGATTCAATCAGGTGAACACGCTTTCGCGCCTTTGCTTCGCGGATAGGTCCTTCGCGTTTCGTGTACGATGGCACAGAGATAGAACGAGATTATATCACAACCTCCAGTGAGGTTTCGAGACACCCGGCTCTTTTCCTGTAATAGCGTCCTCTTCCAGCTCGCGTAAAAGCGCGACTCGAGTCAGCGGTTCGCGACGTCTTATGACTTAAGACACACCGAGACGGACGATTCTTACCAGAAGAGCTCATGGGCGAGTCTTGACGTGGACGCTGCTGCCGCGGCTGCGGCAGCCGCTGCCGCTACAGCTGCTGCCGGTGATGATGACGATGATGCTCCGGGCGGCCAAAGTGGCTGACCCGGAGCCACGGTTCAATCCTCGTCGTGATGCCGCGGACTCGCGTCGTAGCCACCGATCGAGCCGGAGTTCTCTGGCGAGAAGTTCATCATATCCGTTGGCGAGAGGCTGTCCTGCGGATAATAGAACGAGGGATGGTCCGAGCTCGGTCCAGCACCACTGCCGTTCAACATCGTCGCCGGCGGCGAGACCGACGGTCGCGCCGACGGACCGGCGCCCCCTCCTGGGTGATGCTGCGTGCCGGCCATGTCGGCGCTAACAGGTGACAAAAAGTTTATCTCGCTACCGCCGTCGCGGCACCACAGCTGCCGCATCTCCTGCCGCCGCTGTCGCATCAGTGACTTATATTCGGAGATGCGCATCTTCTTGCCATCCACGATGCACGTACGCTTCGGCCGCGGCCGGTACCTATAGTCGGGGTGCTTCTCCATGTGCAGCTTCGACAGCCGCGACTGTTCTTCATAATATGGCTGTTTCTCCGAGTTTGACATCGATTTCCACCGGGCGCCTATAACCGACGACAAAGAAAGTAGTTTTACGTTCTTTGGTGATATTTATTGTTACGTAAATTAAATGTCTCAAATAATTTTTCATTATATTCTTGATTGCAAATGTGTAATATTATTATCGAGAGTGAGAGAGTTTAGTACATATCTTTTATACGTAAAATTATTACGTGACATTTCATGTACAAGAGATAGTGATCGAATTAAAATATTATATAATAAAATTTAAATGTAGATAGGATAAACCGATTATATAACCGTAGATATGAAAGGCGATATGGATTAGATGTGCTTACCGAGAATTTTCGATATGTTCGAATTATGCATATCTGGACAAGCTTTCAAGATCTTTCTACGTTCATCCTTAGCCCACACCATGAATGCGTTCATAGGTCGCTTGATATGTGGCTTGTTCTCACTCTCCCTTTTCTGCTGCCTCACCATTTTAGCTGAAAAAAGAAAGAGGAAGACAGAGGCGTTAGATGTCACGCCGTCGCGTCGTCGTGATTCACGATACTATCGTGAGAAACGAATCTGATTTCGTGAGGGCGTCACTTAGCGCTCTCAAAACAAGAGCGTAATATCAGCCTAATCGTTACTTTGAAGAATAGAAGTGCTTACCTTTTTCCGTTATGTCTTCCGCTACTTTATATGCCGGATCTCGCCACACTGCAATTATGAAACAAAATCATATATACGAGGTAGGGGCTATTATATATATTTTATAATATTAGATAGTACATGATCGTTATAGTAAGCACTATGTGCATCTTACAAGACTATGCGTATCTTTCTCCACACCGGAACAATAAGAATTTTTACCAAATAAAAAATTTTTATATATTATAATATAATCTC